CTATCTTTATTTTTTTAATATGGTTTTGGTTCATGTTAGTCAGTTTGGGGCTTATGTCTCTGATATGTGTTAAACTGTGTCATATTCCTAGGTATATTCAAGTACCTATGAAGTAACATATTTGGAAATAGGGTCTTTGCAGACCTGATGGAGTTATGGTGAGGCCATCCTGAGTAAGGGCAAACCTAATCTACTATGGCTGGTGTCCTTGTAAGAAGAGACCCAGGCAGACATACAGGAGATGTCATGTGACAACCTGAAGATCAGGGTGACACATTGACAAGTGTGGGACACCATGGATGGCCAGCACACCTCCAGGAACCAGAAACATGGAACAGATCTCTTTGAACCCTCAGAGGGAACCAGCACAGCCAGCATGCTGATTACAAGCTTGCAGCCCTCAGACCTCTGGGAGAGAATGCATTCCTGTTGTCTTAAGTCACTGACTTCAGTATCTTCTTACAGCAACTTAGCAAACAGACACTGAAATATGATTCATGCCAGTTTAAGGAATAAGAAAGAGACTGTCTCAGATTTACAAATCCAGAATTGAGGGGGCATCTTCTTACAGCAGCTTAACCAACTAGCAGACACATGACTCATGCCAGTTTAAGGAATAAGGGAAAGTCTCTTAGATTTGCAGGTCCAGAGTTGAGGGGGCTCCAGATATTTATTTGAAACAGTGGGTATTAGGATCATGTTCAATTGTATAAGAATGCCCCCCCCACCCCAGTAACTTACAAAGTGGTGCTGGGGCTCAAACCCAGAGCCTCACACATGCTAAACAAGTGCTTGACCACTGAGCTACATCTCCAGCCCCTGACACTTTATATTTGTCTTCTGTAGGTGTTGGTTCACATAGCAGTTCCATGACATTAGAGGTCCAAGATGCTTTTATGTTTTCACTGCCATTCTGGGAAAGTGACTTCTACCTCACAGCTGAAACCCAGCTCCATGGCTGTCTGGCATTCATGAAAAAGAAGCAAGAGAGACTGCCCTCTTCCCAGAAGTCCACACCCCCAGGATACCTCTGCTAATATAGCCTGCTGTCTACAGTTTAGTCACTGTACCAGTCCTAACTCAAGATAGACTGGGAATGCATTATTTCAGGAATCCATGAGTTCACCTATTTATTAAAAGCAAGAAGGAAGATCTGCTGTTAGGAAACAACCAGAAGTTTTTGTCACAGAGTGTCTGTAGAGGAATGTCAAGTACAGAACTCCTATAGGTGATTGGATGTAAGACACTCAAGGGGAAGAAGTCAGGTCTGAAAGCACAAATTTGAAAGCAAACGAATGTTAATTATACTTTTGAGGGGGTGATGCTGAGATGGCAGAGAGGAAGTGAGTGAGAAGATGTAGAAGAGACATGCAGGGAGCTAGATTCCGCCATTAAAAGCAGGAGGACTCAAAGGGGCCTGAGAAGAAAGCTGAGGTGCTTAGCACAGGTGATGCCAGAGAAGGAGACAGTGCTGTGGTCTGTACTTGTCAGACCTTGTGTTTGTATGTTGTAACTTAATTGCAAATGTGATGGCATTAAACAGCGGGGCCTGCATGAGCCTCTAGCACCAGAGTCTCCTGGATGGAATTAGGGACCTTATCAAAGGGCTTGAGGGAAGGTGTTTCTTCCCTTCACTCCTTCTATCATGTAAAGATGTAGCAGCGCCTTCACCAGATAGATTAGTGCTGCTATCCTGGCCTCCAGGACTGTGAGGAAGAAATTTCTATTGTTTATAAATTACCCAGTCTAGGCTATTTTTTTATATTTATTGAATTTTTGTATATTTCATACATAAAATCTTTATACCCCCTTCCCTTTTGACACCCTCCCATAGCCCCCTAACTGGAGTTCATACACTCTGTCATTTGTATTAAGGTCTATTATGTAAAGTTAGTGTCCCGAGATGTCCCTCAGTGCAAGTTCATCCACTGGGATTTAGTCAGCCTGTCTAGAGTCTCTTCCTTCAAGATCAGCTCTTCCTTACCCAGCAGTAATCAGCTGCCAATAATTCTTCGACTAAGATCAGGGCTTGCTATTCATTTGCACAGTTCTGTGCTGGGTTTTTGTCTGCCTAAGTTTGCATGGGTCTTGTGTATGCCATCACCATTGCTGTAGGTTTGTATGAGAAGGGTCCCGGGTGCTTGTAGGACTGTTTCCGTATGGTCATGCACCTCCTCCCTGGCTCTTAAAATCCTTCTGCCCCACCTCCCGCAATGGTCCTGGAGCCCTGGGTGGGTGAACCTCAACACAGGAGTCCTGTCCAAGAACCTACACTCTGCAGCCTCTTATTTGCATTTTGGCCATTTGTGGCCTTTTATGTTCTTGGCCCTCTGTTGCTTGAGGGAGCTTCATTGATGAGAATTGAAAGATGCATTAGTGTCTGTCTAATCTATGCCATTTTGTTATATAGCATGAAGATAGACAGATAGATACCAACTAAGATAAAGAACTGTCTTTACAAGCACAAGAAGTCCTGATTGTCCTGTTTAAAATCAAAGCTACTTCAAGTCTTTATCTGTAGGCAGTTGTATATGTGTGGCCAAATGACCTTCTAAAACTTAGAAGGTGGGTACATCTCAATGTCAGCATATTAGGGTTAATTTAGACCTAAGGCAGGTAAAGGATATAGCTCCCCACTGTCCTTCACTAAGGGACAAGGTCACACCTAAACACTGAGGTCACTTACCACCTCTGTCATCATGGTCAGGTGGCTTGGGGCCATGGGAGGTCCTAAGACAGGAAATGGGGCCTAGCCAGAAGGCTCAGGAAATTAAGGGTTTAAACCAGGTTCTAGGGAAGGAATCAAGATCAATGTATAGGCAGATTCACACATGTGCACTAAGATGTACAATGATGGACTGGGAATAATCCAAGTGCCACCAGCCTGATAGTGGGCAAACAGATTGTGCTATAGTCATTCAATGAATTTGCAATTGGCACTTTCTTGGCTGCAGTTCCCAGGTTGGCTGCTGTTGTTGGTCAGGGCCTGATCAGTGGGTGCTATGGACAAACAAAAAAGAATGAAGAGGGAGAAAGAAGAAAGAGGGGAAAGACGAACAGGTACGAACAGGTACAAGAAGCCTGTGACTCTGGGACCCAGGTTATCTGCTCTGGGTTTGGAGGCTCCCCTCTGCTGCCAGTTCTCCTCCATCTGGTATTGCTTCAGAGTTTCCCACAGTGGAGGGAGGCAGGATGTGGCAAAACCCAAAGTGGCTCTAAAACTAGACAGACCTGCCTCCTGTTGTACCTTGCTACTTATCTGTATGTGCCCCAACTTTCTCACCTGCAGCTGGGGCTGTGATTCTACCTCTCAGGGTGGCTGTGGGACTTGGTGCGTGTAGCATCCTGACACCTAGCAAGCTCTGAATCACCAGCGTGAGATGTCCTTCTTCCTGTATAATCCTGTCTGACAGATTCTGTAATGATGGCTACTAATCACTTAAAAGGGTCTAGTGTAGTTGGAGGACTGAAAATTTTACTTTGTTGCATTTTTGTTGTTCTTGTTGTTGTTGTTGTTTTGAAACAGGTCTCCCTGGAAGCCCCAGCTGGCCTGAAAGCACTATGTAGACCAGGCTGGCTTCTAGCTCACAGAGATTTACTTGTTTCTGTATCCTGAGTGCTGGGGTTAAAGATGTGTGCCACCACACCCATCCCACTATTCAATTTTAGTTCCTTTATTTACAAAAAAATATTAAAAAATTGCAGTTCTGGGGATTGAACCTTTGAACCCAGGACCTTACCATGCTAGGCTAGTACTTACCACTGAGTCATGTTTCCAAATCTATCCCAGCCTCTTACTGCACATTCAATTAATTGTATGTGTTTGAGTCTGTGTGTATGTGCCAATCAAGGTTGGAGGTCAGTCACAAATGTCATTCCTCAGGTATTGCCCACCTTATTTTTAAGATAGGGCCTCTCACTGGCCTGGAGTTTTCAGAGTAGGCTAGGCTGGGGAGCCCAAGCAATCTGCCAGCCACTGCCTCTCCAGTGCTGGAATTATAAGTGGGCTACCACCCAGGCTTTTGTTTAAACTTGGGTTTTGGGAGTTGAACTCAGGGCCTCGTGCTTGCATAGCAAGCATTTTACAGATGGAATGGTCGATTTTTAAAGATGGTATCTTGTTATATAGCTCACACTGTCCTCAAACTTTCTGTTATCTTGCCTCAACTTCTCGCCCCAGTATCCTGAGTGCTGGGACTACAGTTCCTGTCTGCCAACCGGTCCCTTACTTTTTTTTTTTTTTTTTTTTTTTTTTTGTCTTTTTGAAACAGGATCTCTCTGTACCCCCAGCTGGCCTGGAACTCATTATGTAGACCAGGCTGGCCTTGAACTGACAAAGATCTGCCTACCTCTGCCTCCTAAGTGCTGGGACTACAGGCCAGTGCCACCACACCTGGTGACTTGTGGCAAGTGGCTGGTAACTCTTAATTACCAGACTTTGCCTAGGTAGGAGTTATTCTGGGCCTTGCTGGCCTGGATAGGTGGCTCATTCGTGTGGACACTGCACAGCCCTGAGTTCATGCTGCATCTTTGTGGAGATTTCCTGCACTCATAGGCAGGTCTTGTATAAACTCTGGGCTGGCAGGAACATCCAGGCCTGCACTGCAGTTCAGGGCCCTGCTTTCTGAGATCCTGGCAATTAAAGACTGTATTCACTTCAGCCCAGAGCCCTCAACTGTCCACTCAGTCTTGTAAGCTCCTTGGGGAAATGGACCACTCAACTCCCCCAAACAACCTACTGAATGCTCGACTCCTTTACTCTTGCAGCGAGCAAGGAGGCTCTGCATTTTCAACATCCACTTCATAGCTGACAACACCGATGCTCGAGGAGGCTCGACCACAAGGCGGGAACTTTTAGAGAGCTCTGATGCAGCAGCCCAAGACACTTCCGTGGGTCGGGTTGTCAGGGTGGCGAAAAAAGAGGCGGATAAATATTTGGGGCGGTAACCCGGGCTTCAGCGACAACATGTCACTGCGGTTCCCGGGCGGCGGGCGCGTGGCAAGGGCGGTGCGGTAGGGACAGGGGCGTCCCCGAGGTCGGCAGGGACAGACCCGGCGGCCCCGCCCCACCCCGCCTCCGCCCAAGGCTATAAGACTGCGCGGCTGGCGGGTGGTGGCGCAGGCCAGGAGCGGGCGCCGGCTGTGCAGAGAGCCAGGCCCTGACACCCCAGCAGACAGCGGCGAAGGAAGCAGCCACCAGGTCCAGGAACGTGGGCGCTGTCCAGAGCCAGCACGTCGCGGGAGCTCCGCCACGCGCGCCGCCCCATGAAGCCGCCCTCCGCGCAGGGCAGCCCGGCGGCCGCCGCCGCCGCAGGTGAGTGCAGGGTCGCGGAGTCCCACGTCCCCCCGCGTGCTAGGCAAGCGCTCCACGCCGAGCTGCATCCCCAGCCACGGGTGCTCTGAGAGCCCGGGTGGGGACGAGAGGACAGGCGACGCTGTGGTCCCTTTCCCCCTGGCCACCCTTCGGTTCTCCATCACCAGGGTCCTCCATCACCCGGACTTCATCACCGGCCGTGGGTGGGTTTAGCCTCGCTCTCTACGCGGGGCGAGGTAGCTCAGCCTGACACGTAACGGGCGCGTGCTGACTCAGACTTCCCACCGCCACGTGCCCCGGGGAGCGAGTGTGGGCACAAGGAGTAGAGCCCGTGGGTCCGTGTGGCCGCGTGGGAGAGCTGGGTGGCCTTAGGCTTTCAACTTCACCCGCGGAGGCGGCTTCCTCTCTGCACCCGGCCCAGTGCTGGGCGCTTTGGAGGGAGGGTGAGACATTAATAAAAGGTCACTGGGTGGCTGTCCCTGGCAAACGTAGAGTGAATGTTAGGCATCCTACGAAAGAGTGGTGCCCCCTCCCACGCCGGTCCCAGGGCTGGAGAGATTTACCCCCAAAGCCCCATCTGCTGAACTCCCGGTCCTGCCGGCAGCCCCAGCCTTGGATTCTGCTGCGGCTGCAGACCTGACCGATGCTCTATGCGAGTTTGACGCGGTGCTGGCGGACTTCGCGTCGCCGTTCCACGAGCGCCACTTCCACTACGAGGAACACCTGGAGCGCATGAAGAGGCGCAGCAGTGCCAGCGTCAGTGACAGCAGCGGCTTCAGCGACTCAGAGAGTAAGTCAGTGACCTGGGACCTAGGGCTTCCCAGGGCTTAGCTGTAAACCGAGGCATGGTGTCCTGGAAACTCAGATCCAACCCGAGGCGTGTACCAGCTCGGAGAGGTGAGTCTCCGGGTTTGCAAGGTCAGGTGTTGAAGTTCTGGGGAAAGCTCGTGGAGGGCCTGTGAGTTTACTTACTTATTGGAGCAGGTGTGTCATGAGGCCTGAGGGTTTGGGCAGCCTGTCTTGAGCAGCTGGACAGAACTCCTGGGATCCCAGCCAGGCCCTTCCACGGTTTCTTGTCTCTCTCCCTGCTTTTCCTTTGTTATTTTATTTATTTTTTTGAAGACCCTTCACCCCACCCCCACCTCAAGTTGTCCTATGTAGCTGAGGATGGTTTTGAACTTCTGATGCCTCCATCTTCACCGTGCTGGAATTACAGGTGTTTGCCACCACAGGAAGTTTATACAGTACTGAAGATCAAACCCAGGGCTTCCTGAATGCCAGGCCAGCCCTAAACCAACTGAGCTACATCCTCAACACCCTCTCTTTTACCTTTTCTCTCCCAGAATTGGGGTGGGGGCAACATGAGAGAGGACAGCACTGAAACATTTGTGAAACAAGAAAACATTTCATAAGCTGCTGTTCTTGGAATTTTTTGAAATAGCTTCTCATACTTTCTTCTGAGCTGCCAGACACTTGCACCACATCATGCAGTTTTGTAAGAATACCCCCTGAGCTGCTGAGTTCAAGTACAGTATTATAAAGACCTCCTCCTTCAGGCAGACTGCCAGTGGAGGTGCTTCCTGGTGACCTTTTCCATAAGGGTGATTACCGCAAGGCCTCTTATCTAACAACTGTGTTAGAGAGAAAAGAAAAGAAAGGCTTCTCAAGGACTCAAATGTTCTGCAAGATTGTGGGTACCTGTTTAGGTGTCAAACAGTAAATTTGGTGTCATTTCAAATCCTGAATTACTATTTCTCAAAGTGAACTTTAAATTCTGTTTGTTCTTGAGTTTTTAGTCCTTAGATAGGTTATAAGCTCAGGCATCACTACCTTTGTTGTCCCTGATTCTGGGAGTAAAAGTCCCTATGTTATTTTGGAAATCTGGAGTTTTTCCTTGTTACTGGGCAAAGATTCAGGGTTAGATTTGAACCTGAGCTGTTCACTTGACATAAATCCCTCTTCATCCTGGTCAGGCTTTGAGTCAGAAACCAAAGTTCAGTCTGAGTTTCCTTGGCAGCCCTGCCAGCACATTAGACTAGGCTGTGACTTAGGTGAAAGGGGACAGAAGAGTGTGGGTATGCTGTTAATTTCCACTTAGAACTTTTGAATTTTGATGCTCATGACCTGGCTGCTCATTTTCAATGTTCAGAGAAAGTCTTGTATTTTTTGAAATTTGTCTTAATACTTGTGGTCTAACTTAAATGTCTCTGTCCATTGGGGCATGGGGCAAGTTATTCATCAAGTACAAATTCTCTCTCCAGGGAAAAGAAGGATGGAACAATCTCTATGGCAAAGGGCAGCTTTTTACTAAGCCACAGTCTCATTCTGATGGCATAGGGCCCGAGCATGTACTTTCATGGTAGACTGCAATCACAAGTTCTGCCAGGGGTGGGGCTCTCAGATCTAGCTAGTGTTTTTAGGGGTCTTAAAGAGATTAAACTAGGGGCTGGAGAGATGGCTCAGTGGTTAAGAACACTGACTGTTCTTACAGAAGATTGCTGGGGTTCAAATCCCAGCACCCACATGGCAGTTAACAACTGTCCGTAACTACAGTTCCAGGGGATCCGACAGCCTCTTTTGTCCTCTGAGGGCATTGCACGACACGAGTGCACTCACCTACATGCAGGCAATACACACATACATATAAAATAAAACTAATAAATAAAAAAAATATTTTTTAAAAAAGACTGAACTAGAGACAATTTCCAAACAGTGTGGGGAGATACTTGTAATAGAATTTGTAGGGTTTTTTAGGGTATATCTGTATATATTTTGCTTTCTGCTTTCATTGTTAATCTTAAACCTTGAGTTTGGTGGCTAGAGAAGTAATGGGAAGTGTCCAAAGAAGACAGATGTCATTGGTCTTTTCTATAAATGTGGCTGTTCCCCACATTACTGCTTAGAAATAGTCTTAGTGGGAGCTGTACATATCTAAATAATAATTTTTAAAATTTTATGTGTATGAATTTTCACTTGCATGTATGTAAGCACTCCCCATCCATGCAATGTCCATGGAGGTCAGAAGAGGGCATTGGATCCCCTGGAACTGGAGTTACAAGTGGTTATTAGCCACCATATGGGTGCTGGGAACGAAACCTGGGTCCTCTGCAAGAGTAGCCAGTGTGCTTACCCACTAAGCCATCTTACCAGCCCCTAAATAGTAATTCTTAAGGAAGCATAATATATGTGTCTTAAATGTCACCAGGAATTGAGCAGACATTTGTGACACTCATTTATCTATCTGTTGCTTCTTAGGGGAAGAGAATAATGCGGAGAGATACAGCTCACTGAAACTTAACTCTCCAGAGGGGGTAACCAGGTTTATAAGCAGCAGTGGCAGCTTGCCTTTACCAAGCTGTCACTAGGATTGCTATGATTATTATTTGTTAATATCAGCAATTTCTTGCTATTCTTTGAATATCATGTATGTTCTCTACCATAGTCCTATAAATTAGGTACTGTTATCTTCATTTTTTTTTTGAAACTACGCAGGCTGACCATTTATGACCTTGCTCTGTCACCACAGATGGTTGGCTAAAACCAGGTCTCGGGAGTAGTCTGGAGTTCTAGTGAGCTCAGATCACGTGTCTTTTTAGTTAGTGGTGTGACTGTTGAAGTCTCAAGTCAGTGGGCATCAGGAAGGTCAGTGGAGATAGGTGATAGGTATTCTTGATTTTTGAAGAATACTTTTTTCTCATTAAAAATAACTATTCTTGATTTTTTTTTTGAAGAATACTTTTTTCTCATTAAAAAATTTCGGTTGTGGCACTAGACAGATGGCTCCATGTCACACTTTCCTGAAGCTGTCAGAATTTAGATTTGGGGGAGGAGGAGAAAGACCCTCATCCCTGCCATTCCCTGTGGTAACAGTGAAGTAGAACCAGGGCTTTCTTTTTCTTGGTTAATTACTATAGTTTGCTTGCTGCAAATGTGTGGGATTGTTCTATATTTACAGGAATTCTGGGCAAGGCTTACTGTCTGTGGTTTTACTTTCCTCTGGAGCAGCACATGTCAGTTCTAACCCTAAATTACCTTTCTCCCAACCCAAAAAGACATGCCTTTTATTTAAACAAAGCTTCTGTTTTTGCTATGGAGTTTCTCATACTTGATAGGCACACCTAAAGCTAGAGGGTTGTGTGTATAATATGCTTTTATTTCTTTTGATGGTGCCTTAGCAAACTTGGTCCTACTATCTGAGACTTCGATGCATTAAATGGGCGAGGCGAGGACGTTTGTAATGGGAATTTGATGCTGGGAGATGGGGCTTCTGTCTGATATGGATATTTTAAAGTCCACTTTACCACACATGAAGATTCTCCAGATCATCACTGCCGAGTCCCTCGAGCACTTGTTAATGGCAGCACCTGATAGCAGGGTGGGACAGCAATACACGAATGTGCTATCAGCCAGAGACACGTTACTGCCATTTTATCAGACTGACTGGATGTTATTTCACAAGGAATAGAGTTCTAAGGAAGAATCGAGCAAGAATCCAGGCCTTGCTTACCTTTTTGTCTTCTACAACTCCCGAATGAGAGTCTGTTCATTGAAGGCCTGAACAAAAGCCTGTGGAAAAAGAATTTTATTGGGTCCAGAAGTTAGAGTTTGGCATATGTCTGTGTTGCGATTCTATTCTTGGTCACCTATGAAGAGAAACTTAATTTTTTTTGCTACAGTCTGGAAAACAGCAGGAGGCCAGGCTCAGACTCTCAATTCTTTTCATCCTCAGTAATAATGCATTCTCTCCTGGGCCTGTTATTCTCCATTCTGCTAGGAACTCAAAATCAAATCCTGAAATTTCAGGCATCACACACGGCATGCCTGGGTTATGATTACCTTTCTCATGGTCTCTGCTTCCTGCCCTCTCTGCAGTGGTATAACTTCAGGGACTTGGGCTGCTTTTTCCATTGTTTTCTTCATGAATTGCCACATGTAGACAATTGCCACTGGCTCACCAAGCAAGACAGCTTTGGTCAAGGATGCTGGGGGCCCATTTCTTTTTCATGGTTGAAGGCCAAACATCTCAGAGCCTGGAGTTGGCCGAGGGTATGTAAAGACACAGGAAGAGAGTAGATTCATGGTATGGCAGTGAACAGACAGGATGTGAGATTATGAATGTGTGTGTGTGTGTGTGTGTGTGTGTGTGTGTGTTCGCACGCACGTGCGAGTATGTGTGTGTTTGGGGGCAGGGAGAAGGGAAGTGAGCATATGCTGATGTGCCTCTAGGTGTATATGTTTATAGAGATACTGTAACTAGTATTTTTTTTTCCTCTACCCGCCTCATTGTGAGAGTAGCATGTGTTCATTAGCAGTGAGGGAACTACTGACCACTTTAATAGCCTGGCTTGCAACCAAATTTATCAGTCATGTAAAAAGTCTGTTGTGTCTATATTTTCTGACCTTGAGGAAAGTGCTTGGGTCAAGGAATTTAGCATGCAGACTAGACTTTGAAGAATCAGAAGCAAGCCAGGGCCGTCCTCTGAGACTCTGACTTCCCCAGGGTCCCCAAGCTATCTGGGTTGTCTTGAACTTGCCCTTACTCCTCCCTGGATGGCTTTTCTCTGTCAGCCTCTTTTACAATGTCTTTTTTCCTGTTGATATTGTTACCTCTTTAAATAATATTTGGTCTAATTGCTTGGAAAGTGACCCAGCTGTGGTGTACCTTTCTCCCAATCCTGAAGCATGATTATATGTGGATGTAAAATTGCCGGAGAGTTGAGACAGAACAGAGATGAAGTTCAAAGCCAGGAGAAGGGTTTGTGATGTATGTAGGGTGGGGTGGAATTAGGTGTGGTATCGAAACTGGCTTTCAAATACCAGCTGTTCAGGGAGATAGACACCAGGGAGTGGGGTGGCCCTTGAGCTCTAGGCCAGTGAGTCTAGAGCTGGAACTCCGGACTAAGAATGGGGGCGATGTTCTTGGATGTCTTATAGGGATAATATGGATGTTCTTGGATGTCTTATAGAGCCAAGGATAATATGGCAAGGACTTGGTATTCCATTTTCCTGGCTCATGGCCTGCTTCCCTGGGGTGCTCTGTGGTTTTCTTGCCCCCGAACATTACTTCATCTTCTCTACACATGTTTCCTGGTCTGTGTCTGTGGTGATTTTTCTAGTTACTGCGCATCAATAGCCAGTAATGCTCCTTTACTGGTCTGCAATGGGCATACAAACTCTCCTGGGTATAGGGGACTACTCCTCTAAAGGGAAGTTTGGTGGAAAAACCAAACAGAAGACCTTCTCAAGTTAAGTTCTAGAGAGTTCCAGTGTCCTGGAAGATATTAATAGGAGAGCTATGAAGTATCCCATTGTCAAATACACTTGGGAAGTGGGGCCAGATCTGTCTTTTCATCACAAGTCTTCTCAGGGAGTGATCAAAGGCATGTTTGGTATTGTTAGAACATAATTGATTTCAAGGACCAGCATTCTGGGGATACGATGTTTTTGGAGGTAAGAGTGTAGGTTTAAGGTTCAGTGTTGGGACTTTAGTATGTGTTCGTCATCAAAGCCCTGAAAAATGATTGTGGTCTTTTTAGGTGACTTGGGACGGAACTCTTGAAGAAAAGATTGTGAGGGTTGTCCCAAGGGTCTTCTGGGCATGTTGGGAAAAGTGGACTAGGTGGGTATACAGGCCAGAAAGAGGGAAGTTGGCAGCTGAGACCATCTGGTCAGAAGATGGAGGAAATAGAGCCAGATGAGCGATACCTGAGCCTTTTAGGGGTGGAGCTGAATTTTCTCATGACTAGAAGCTTCTTTCTGAAACGCTGATTTCCTTTTATACTGAGCACATTAAAAAAATAACTTAGACATATTCATCTTGAGTTAAGAGAACTAAAACAAGGTATGCTGGATGGCTTTAGCTGTCAACTTGAACACCTGGGTAGAGGGAGCCTCAACTGGGGAATTTCCTTTATTGAACTGGCCTATGGCTATGTCTGTGGGATATTTTCTTGATTTTTGAGTGATGGGGTGGGGGGCAGCCCATTGTGGGTGGTGCCACCCCCCGGCAGGGCAGGTTGTTCTGTGTTGTACAAGAAAGCAGGCTGAGCACGGGCCAAGGGAGCAAGCCTATAAGCAGCATTCCTCCATGGTCTGTGCTCCAGCTCCTGCCTCCAGGTTCCTGCCCTGTACCTTGGGCTCCCTCAGAGATGAACTGTGACCTGGGAGATGTAAGCTAAACAAACCCTTTCCTCCCCAAGTTGGTATCAGAGTGTTTTGTCACAGCAATTGAAGGCAAACTAGAACATAAGGTGTTTTTGTCTTCCTGAGCTGGGGGGAATTGGCTTTAAGGACAGGAGCCCTAAGGAGGAGTGGGACCTAGTCAGGCCTCATTACTCAGCAGCTCTCACTCACCTGAAGAGGCTTTCTCCTGCTGCTGCTGAACTGGCTGCCTTTGTGTTCTGTTTTAACCAGGAAGGCAGCTTCCTTGCTACCTCAGGAGCCACATCCTGCTTCCGCTGCCTGCTCTGCCTTTAAGCCTGTTTGCCACCACCGCACCGCAGGGCTGGCTATGAGGCTGGCTTCCTCCTTCTTGTCAGGACTTAGAGAAATAGACATTCAGAACCTCAGAACTGGGAGGGACTGGAAGGATTGTTTAGATCACCTTTCTATCTTATTGATTGTTAAGCTGAGGCCCAGAATAATGCCATGTTCAAGGTCACTTAGTAGCTAAGCTGCATCTGGCCTGGGAAATTATTAATAGAGGGGCCCAGAATCATGCTTATATTTTAAGGGGTTTCAGAAGGCTGAGGTAATTTTTCATGAAAGATGATTCTATATTTGGAATATTTTTTTTTAAAGATGGGGTTTCATATTTCAGGCTGGCCTCAGACTCACTATGTAGCTTAGGATGGCTTTTAACTTCTGATCCTCCTGCTTCTACTCCCAGAGTGCTGGGATTATTGGAATGCATCATCGTGCCTGATTTGTGTGGTGTTGGGGACTGAACCCAGGGGCTGGTGTCTGCTAGGCAAGCACCCTATCAACTGAGCTACATCACATCCCAAACCTACCCTCACCCCATCAGCTAGGCCTGGCTTGACCAGTGAGTTTGACAGCTGGCCAGTAGACTCCTATATTGGGTCCTATTAATCCCATCACACTTTTTAGGGGAGCAAAGGCCTTCAGCATACTTGACTGAATACAAACACTTGCACATCCATGTGCACAATTCTCTGCCTTAGATCATTTGGGGTCTTAAATATGCAATTGGAGATCTGCCTTTTTTCTTTAATATAGATTTTCAATTTAAAAACTATGTATGTGAGCCAGGTGTGGTGGTGCATGCCTTTAATCCTAGCACTTGGGAGGCAGAGGCAGGTGGATTTCTGTGAGTTCAAGGCCAGCCTGGCCTACTTAATTAGTTCCAGGCCAGCTGGGGCTACAGGGAAACTCTGTCTCAAAAAGACCAAAAAAAAAAAAATGTATATGAGCATTTGCTTGCATGTATGTAAATGCGTCAAGTGTGTGCAGTCTGTGGAGGTCAAAAGAGGGCATCAGATTGATCTCCTTGAACTGGAGTTATGGATGGTTGTTCACCACCATGTGGGTGCAGGGAACTGAACCTGGGTTCTCTGGAAGAATATTCAGTGCTTTTAACCACGGAGCCATCTCCCCAGCCCCTAGATTTGTGCTTTCTGCTTCTTTGGGAGAAGAAGGTGACTGCCGGGTATCAGTAGTTACAGACTGGGGATGGGTAGTTTAGTGCTTTTAATGAGTGTGGCTTCTAACGAGTGTGGCTTCTCTCCTTAAAGGTGCAGATTCACTGTACAGGAGCAGCTTCAGCTTCAGTGATGAAAAGCTGAATTCTCCCACTGACTCTGCCCCAGCTCTGCTCTCTCCCACGGTCACACCCAGGAAAGGTCAGCTCAGCAGATGAATTCTTCTACTGTTATTCCTTCCCCTCTACTCTCCCACCTTCCCTTTACCCACAACCAAGCTTTCCCAAATTTACAAAGCAAATAGATAATCTAATATGGCAGAGTGTAGTCTAATTCATTATTTTTCAGGGTTTTGATCAGTGTGAAATAGAATTAGATCATTTGGTGTGGAAAATCTGGATCCACAGGAAGAAAGACAAGATGTAGGTTCTCTCTTATATCAAATGACAGTGCTTCCTGAACTCAGCATGTTGGCTTTGCAGCAACAAGAGGATCCTTTTTTTTTAATGGCCTCCCAGTAGCCCTAGCTGTCCTGGAACTCACTATGTAGACCAGGCTGGCCTCCAGACTCACAGAGATCTGCCTGCCTCTGCTTCCTGAGTGCTGGGATTAAAGACATGTGCCACCATACCTGGCCTAAGAGGATTCTTTTTTATTGCATTCACTATTTACCTAGTGCTTTCAGGTGACCAATCTATCAATTAAATATGGCTGTCATTATGAAACAAGAATGATCTAACATAGGGCCAGCAAGATGGCTCAGTGGATGAGAGTGCTTGCCACCAAGCCTGATGACCTGAGTTCACCTACATAACAAGTGCCCTCTCAACTCCATGTGTGTACAGCTTGTGCGTGCATGTGTGCACGCACGCACGCACACACACACATACACATTAAATAAATGTTTTTAGAAAGTATAAAATTAACATGATTTGGGGCTAGAGAGATAGTTTTGTGGTTAAGAACAGTGGCTGCTCTTGCAGAGAACCTGGGTTCAATTCACAGCACCCACGTAGCAGCTAACAACTGTCCCTCACTCCAGTTCCAGAGGATCCAACCCCCCTTCTGGCCTCTGTGGGCATTACATGCGTGTGGTACACTTTCACACAAAGAGGCAATGCAATGAGGCAAAACACTCATACACATAAAAATGAAGAAAGAAATTAACATGATTTTAAACAACAGCTCCAGCTGGTCTCTATCATGATATTAATAGACTCAAAAGGTTTTAAAGATGCATGAACAGTTTCTTAGTTTCTGAAATTGGCCAGTGCCACCAGTGAGGGAGCTGAATGGTCTGTTATATTGGACAGGCGCCCTTTTGAAAACAAAAGGAGCCACCCTCCTCCAAGGAAAGTTATACTTGCTGAAAATAGTTTGCAAAATGCAATAGAAATGGAACAAACTTCAAAAGAAATGGGAAGATTCCATCACTTTTCTCCATCTGGCATTAAACAGAGCTTCCCTCTTTCTTGAAAGAGATATTTTTAAATTCCCTTTCCTACATAGCCATGTTAACAGCCACTGGGGATTCGGCCACTGGCCAGCCCCCCAGTCTGTAATGGATCTGTAGACTCTAGGGACAGAGCAGTCTAGAAGTTGGCTTGAATAGAGCCAAGATTTGATACCTGATCCTCTAGAGGTGGGAATCAAAGAAGGGGAAAAAGCCCTAGTGGCAAATGGACTTTAGAGCTACAAACAATGAAACATTTGTAGCCGGCAGGGATGAATAATACAAACATTCAGTAATGCATTTAGGGAAGGCATGAATGATAAACTGCAGAGAAGAAAGTAAGCACACAGGGAAAGTGTATCTCTGGCTGCAGAAAGCCACAGCTAAGTAAGGGCTCTTGTGCTGCAGCAAGATGGGATAAGGCTGTCCTGGCTCAGCAGCCACATGTTCCCTGTCCCACTTGGACCTGGAGCAGCAGCAGTTCCACATTCATGTCATACTGGAGGGCACAGTGTTGCCCTCTAGCAAGAGCACTGGGGAAACCTCATCAGAAGGTTGGAATCACAGAATCAGGGCCCATTCTGCAAAATGCTTACCATAGTGCTTACTGAATATTTTTAAAAATCTTTTTGAGATAGGGTCTCCCTATAGCCCCAGCTGTTCTGGAACTCACTATGTAGACCAGGCTGGCCTTGAACTCACATAGACCCGCCTACTTCTGCCTGCTGGGATTAAAGAAGTGCACCACCACATTCGGTGGTTACTGAATATTTTTGATTAATAACTGTGCTTCACAACCAAAGAGTTCAAAGCTTTTTATGTGCCTTCCTTTGTCTTACTCTCCCCAAACTTTTAAGATACCTGGGACAGATCCTTCTTCCAGGTTAAGAAAAGGTGGGGTGGGATGGTGGGCAAGGCTAGCCTCTAGGGTCAGTTTCTGAGATTATTGTAAACATGGAACAGACACTTAGGTCTGGTACAGGGCATGCTTTAATGAGGTCTCTGAAGACCACAGATGGGAAATGAAAACAACCAATTTAATCCTGGAAACTCTGTAGTCCCAGAAGAATCCCCCATCAGCTGTGTTCGATGTGGAACCTGAGCTGCCTTCTCTGTTTTGCAGCCAAATTAGGAGACACAAAAGAGCTAGAAGACTTCATTGCTGATCTTGACAGAACATTAGCAAGTGAGTACATGCCTGGTATTTAAAAACATCACACAGAACACTAAGCCACACCTTTGATAATGTGCTATGATGTTTCCCAGCTTGCCTGGGGGTGGAAGTTACATCATAAGGCTACTTTAGGTTTAGAAACAGGACCCCAGTGGTTCAGAAGCCAATTTGGAGGATAAGCTTGCTTTCCCAACTGTGAGAACAGGTCACCAGCATACAATGGTATGTTGTTTGGGAAAAGGAGAGCTAGCAAGGGTTTTGTCGGTTCTCAGAGACCTGATTGGCTGATTGGTCACACATCCTTCCTTCAGCAAGCCAGAGGGTTCCATCCAAGGGTAATTTCCCGAGGTTTGATCCCAGAGTTTGGTAAGGTCTGACTTCCAAGGGTTGAGGAAGACATGGTCTGGGATATCCATGCCAGTTACCCAATGACCAAGATTCAGTATGCAAATACTTAGGAATTACAGTGTTAGGTACCCATTTTGTTTGGCCTAAAATGTTGGGAAATGAAGAGATCAGGTGATGATTGCAGTTGGGGGGGGGGTTGTTTAGAGAAGGAACTTTCATCTGTTTACGCCCTGTATTTCAAAAGCACAAGACTGCAAGAGCCAGGAGGATCAGCTCCAGCTTTCAGTGTGGAGTTTCAGCAACGCCATCCTTGGGGGATTTTGCTAAGCCTTGGAGAATTTTGTCCTGGCCTCTAAGTTTTTCAGTGAAAGTAATCATTTTTCTCTAAGAAGTATTCTGTGCTTTACTTTGCCAAACAGGTAAAAATCTGAACATTTAGATCCCAAAGTTAATTTAAAAACAGTCTATTTAAAAGGACTGTGTTCTTAACACTCTATCAGGTAGGAAGTCTGTTTCTTCTGTATTTACCTGAAGATTTTATTGCCCCCTTTCTTACCCTTTGTGCCATCCTACATCAGAAGAGCTAGGCCTGTTTTGACAGAGATGATTCTAATTGCAGCACAGTTTGTATTAGACCCATGCAACAAGCTTGTCTACTTCATGGAAATGGCAGCTGGCCACCTCGTCTTTCAAGTTCATCAGACACACATTATATGGGAAGCCTGCCATTAAGTTTGGTGCTTTGAAGCCTATTAGAGACCACTTGATGTGGTTAAGCTTGGGAATTGTGAACTTCTGGTAGGAGCTAACCTCTCTTATCTGCTATTTTCAGGTATGTGAAGCAAGGAGTTTGGGGTCTTTGAATCACAAGAATGAAACTCCAGAAGCCTTTTGAGGACCTGGCAAAATCAGCTACTAGAATCTGCTGTGGGAAGGGACAGGGCTGAGCTCACCTGCCCTCAGGCCATTCTCAGTTTTTCCTAACATTAGCTGTTGGGCCCATCTCTGGGCAGTTTAGACAGTGGAACTGATTTTGTTTACCTGCCTGCAGCATATTACAACAGATGATCTATGCTAATGTACTTTTCCTCTTAAAACCTAGCTCTCCTGTAATTTAAAGTGCTTTTATGAAAATACTTGTAATTAATTATATATAGTTGAAAATAGTAATATGCTTTCCCCATTATAATATATTTTTGTATACAAATAAAATTTGAACCGGAGTCTGTACTTTGTATGCTTTCTTCTTTATTTCTGTCCATATATTTCAATTCAGAAGTTTTATGACAGGAATGACAGGCCTCTGGATTTCTAGTGAAGATCTTGGGTGCTGCAATTGTACTGACTTGGGTGGTCAATTTCACAAAGCTTTCCCAGAGCTCACCACATGTGGTACAGGGAGATGCTGGCAGAAGCCCACTGGGCACTTTTAATCTGAGGATTAAATAGGACTTCATAGGTGAACTTAACAGTACTTCACAAGACCTGGGCACTAAGGATGATCTGTGATCCTGATCTTGATGCCAACAACTAGGAGGCTTCAGTGTCCAGTGGGTCCAGCTGTGAGGCCTTGGGAGGTGACTTTGCACAAAGAAGCCCATGAGGGTTGGGAAGGCATCAAAACAGGAGAGATTTAGGTAAATTTTTATTTTTTTTATTTTATGTGTATTAGTGTATTGCCTGCATGTGTGTAAGTGCACCCATGTCGTGAAATGACCACAGAAATCAAAAGAGGATGTCGGATCCCCTGGAGCTGGAGTTAAGGATGGTTGCTAGCCACCATGTGGGTCCTGGGAATTGAACCTGGGGACTTTGCAAAAGCAGCCAGGGCTCTAAACTGCTGAGCCATCTCTCTAGCCCTGTAAGGTCATCATTTTTTAATTTACACTTTTCTATCTTTAGATGCTCCTCTAAAACAGAATTACTTTCACAATCAAAGTTAGCAAAAAAAAAAAAAGTCCAATCTTTATATTCTTTAAGAAAATTTGTTTGATAGTTTCATACATCTATGTAATGGATTTTAGTCATTTTCATTTGTCACTCTCTCTAATCCTCCTTCCTCTCAACAAGTTCCCCCTTCTACTTTCCTGTGTTCAGTTTGTATGTGGCCCGCTGAGTTTACTTAGAGATTCTTGCTCAGGTATGGATGGGAGGTTATCCACTGGAGCAAGGGCAATGTATCTGTGGTTATATCACTGAAGAAAATGGAAAATATGGATGGATTCACAGGTTTCCTTGTCTCTTGCACAGGGGCCATGCTGATCATTTCAATTTTTATAGCTGCTGAATGGAGCATCAATCCTTATCTTCTTAAAGGAAATATATGCAAAACATAAGTGTAGTCATATAGTACAGAGTGACCTTTCTGAGTTTCTGTGGATGACAGACCACATATATGATGTTGGTTCCATATACTGTAATGGAGTTGAAAGAGTCTCATAACCTTAGGACATCATAGCCATCATAATGTTGAAGTAGGATGTGTTGTATGTTTGTGGGGACGCTGGTGTAAACAAACCTAATGTGCTTCCAGTCATATAAAAGTATAACCCATATCATTATGTACAGTCATAATACTTGATAATGACTGAAAACAATTATGTTCCTGGCTTTGGTTATTTTTTTTCACTGTTATTTTAGAGAACATAAGCTTTAGGCATTAAAAATGTTTACTGTTTCACAGCAGCAGCCTCACACATCTGTTTGCTTATCTCTTGGCTGTATTAAAAGGCCACACTTGACTGACTTGTGCTACCTAGGTTTGTGGTAAGTCCTCTCTATGATGTTCCCACAATGATGAAATCATATAGCAATGCATTTTCAAAAGCTAGCTAATAGATTAGATTTTTATTTTTAGGGCATCTTGGAAAAAAAATAAAAAATTTCCCTTGAACTTCTAGGATAGCTTTGGGTTCAGAGCAAATATTTTCCTTTTTTAATTTTATTTATCATTAGTATGTATATATATGAAGTGTGTGTGTGTGTGTGTGTGTGTGTGTGTGTGTGTGTGTGTATGCTGCATGCATGCTACGGCAGTGCTCACGTGGAGGTCAGAAGACTATTTTGTGGAGTTGGTTCTCTCCATCTTTGCATGAATTCCAGGGATGGAACTGGAGTCATCAGGCCAGGGTGGCAAGTGCCATTCATTACCGTGGCGCCATCTCACTGGCCTTCTCTTCTTATTTTTAAAAACTGAAATACAGTTTACATGCTATGGCTTTAATTTTGTGGCCACTTGTCTACCATTTCAGAGGAAAATCTGTTCAAATCCTTTGTCCATATTTAATTGGGTTATGTTTTTAATGTTGAACTGCAGAAAATTTCAGTGTTTCTGGACATAGGTATTTATCAGATACAAGATTTGAAAATTATTCTCTCCTATTTTGTGGACTATATTTTTATTTATTTATTTTGTCCTTGAGGCATGAAATCCAATTAATTGTTTTCTTTGTTGCTTGTGGTTTTGGTGTCATGTCTAAGAAATCACTGTTTAAGTTCATGAACAGACAGATACTCCTATTCTTTTTGTAGTTTTTAGTTGGGTGTGGTGGTTCATGTCCGTAATCCCAGCACTTGGAAGGCTGAGGTACAAGAATCATTGAGTTCAAGGCCAGCCTGGACTACTTAGTGAGAATCTGTCTCAAAAGAAAACAGAAACAAAGGCTGGAGAGGTATATGTTGATAAAGTGCTTGCACTACAAGCATGAAGATCTGAGTTTGATGCCTAGACCTCACATGAGAAATGCTGGGCATGATGGCAGGCTTGTAATCCCAGTGCGCAGGTGGAGACAAGCAGATCCCTGGGCTCACTGGCTCATCAGCCTAGCCTATTTGGCAAGTTCTAGGCCAGTGAGAGACCTTGGTTAAAAAAAAAAAAAAAAAAAGGTGAGTGGGTCTGGGGCTATAGCTCAGGGTAAAGTGCTTGCCTTGCATACAGGATGCCCTAGGCTCAATTTCCAGTACTGCACACACACACACACACACACACACACACACACACACACACACAAGCTGGAGGGCACCTGAGAAATGACATTAAAAGTTGTCCTCTGGCCTCTACATGCATGCATACAATGGTGCACACACACACGTGCATATGCATACACACACAAAAATTGTAGCTTTTATATCTCGACCTGTGATGTACTTTGAGTTGAATGGTACAAAAATTGATCCAACACCATTCTCTTGCCCTAGAATAGCTAGTTGTCACAGCACTATTCATTCAGAAGACATTTCCCATTATTGAATGTATCGGTACTGTATTGGATAGCTTTAGCGTCAACTTGACACACCTGGGTAGAGGGAGACTCAGTTGGGGAATTGCCTCCATTAGACTGACCTGTGACCATGTCTGTGGGGTAGTCTCTTGATTGTTGAGTGATGGGGGGGGGCAGCCCACTGAGGGTGGTGCCATCCCTGGGCAGGTGGGCTTGTGTTGCATAGGGAAGCAGTCTGAGCAGGGACCATGGGAGTAAGCCAGTAAGCAGCATTCCTCCATGGCCTGTGCTCCAGCTCCTGCCACCAGACTCCTGCCCTGAGCTCCTACCTTGGTCTCCCTGATAAACTGTGACCTGGGAGATGTAAGATAAATAAATCCTTTCCTCCCCAAGTTGGTATTGGTCAGAGTATTTTGTCACAGCAATGAAGAAACAAACTGATACAGGTACCATTGTGGAATAGCAATTGCCATAAACAGATGGTCTCCCTCTAAATTCCCCTCCTTCCCATTTTTTCTCCCTCTTAATTTTTGAGATAGTTTCACTATGCAGCCTAGGCTGTCATAGAACTTACTATGTAGCCCAGGCCAGCCTCAAACTCATGAGCCTCCTGGCTCTGCTTTGTCAGTACTGGGATTACTACCACACCAGGCTCATTTTCCATCTTAACAACAGGTCTTTATTTATAGGCATGAAATACCTTTCAGTTTAATTTCTTTTTTTAAGTTAAAAATAACAGAAGTTTATTTTGGCTCTTTAATTTCTGTCAACTATACTTTGTAGGTTTAATGTTGTATCTCTTTTGATAAAATTTATTGCTAAGTGTTCCGACTATTGAAAATACAGGGCCAGAGAGATGACTCAGTGAATAAAAGCATTTGCCCCACAAGCCTGATGATCTGAGGTCCATCTTCAGAACCTATGTAAAGATATAAAGAGAGAATCAATAAAGTGATTCTCTGAATTCCAAACACCCACTGTGGCACATCCACACTCACACATCATGCACACACCCACACCAAAAAAATAAAAATAGCTGGGCGTGGTGGAGCACACCTTTAATCCCAGCACTTGGGAGGCAGAGGCAGGCATATCTTTGTGAGTTCAAGGCCAGCCTGGTCTACATAGTGAGTTCCAGGACAGCTGGGGCTACAAGAAGACCCTGTCTCAAAAAAGACAAAAATAAAAATAAATAAATAAAAATGTTTTGGTGTTTTTGAGACAGGGTCTCCCTGTAGCCCCAGCTGGCTTGGAGCTCACAGAGGTCTGCCTGCCTCTGCCTCCCAAGTGCTGAGATCAAAGGCATGTGCCACAATGCCTGGCAATAAATTAAAATTTTTAAAAAGAAGTTTTCTCTAAATTATATTTTTAGATTTTTTTCATTGCTGGTGAATAGAAATAGCATTAATTTTTGTGTGTTGGTCTCATATCCTTTAACTCTGTCTGCTTATTTTTCCTAATAGTTTGTATGTGTGCACTGAACACACGACATCATACTATTTGTAAGTATAGATATCATTACTTCTCGCTTTCCAACTGAAAGCCTTCCATTGCTTTCTTTTCTTTCACTGCCGAGGTTGGATCCTCCAGCACAGTGTGGAAAGGAAAGCTGAGAGGTCAGCTCGTGTCCAGTCTTAGAGGACAAGCCTTAACTGTTAAGCATGGTATCGCCACCATGAAGCATTAGCTGTAGGATGCTTTTTCTTTTCTTAAAAATTTTTTTATTTTTTATTTTTATTTTATGTGTGAGTGTTTTGCCTGCACGTAAATGCATCTGTGTTGTGCAATATCCAAGGAGGCCAGAAGAGGGTGTCAGATCTAGAATTATGAACAGAATTCTGGAATTAGAACTAGAATTATTATGAACAGTTGTTAGCTACCATGTGGGTGCTGGGACTTGAAACTGGGTCCTCTGGAAGAGCAGCAAGTGTTCTTAACAGCTGCACCATCTTTCCAGCTCTACTTTTTCTTTTTTGATCAAATGAGTGCTTGGCTTGTTTTCTAGACTTT